ATCTCCTCTATAATTATAGTTTTTTATAGCTAGTATAGAACCTACTTAAATATAACTACGTCCTCACTTAATACTAAACAGAAAGCTATATTAAATATTATATAGAGGGTAGTTATGCTATTTATTTAGAATAACAGCATATTAAATTAATTAACTTATTACTTTTAGTAAGCTTTTTTTTATTACGTTTAATTATAAACTATTATTAACCTTATATATATTATCTATTATTAGTAACTTTAGATTTCTCTTCTATATCTTAAAGCATTATATATATATCTAGAATACTATATTAATCTTATCTATTTTAGTATTATAATAAATTTCAGCATACTAAACGTTATTATTACCTTCTAACTTATATAAAAAGATCTAAGTTAATAAGAGGGGGTTATATTTATCTTATTATAGCTACTTTTAGATATTCTAAACGTCTTGCTCTTAAATTAATATATTTAAGTCCTCCTTAATTTAGGTAGTAATATCCTTTAAAGTAAGCTTACTACTTTTTAAGAGAGATTCTACTTTATCCCTAATTACTTTTTTACTAACTTTACACCTACTTATAGTATAAAAGTTATAGCTTATAATAAAGTACTTAGGCTTAAGGGTAAGGTAGTTATACCTATTATTAACAATAAAGTATATATACTTATCCCTAACTATAATAATCTTTCTTAACTACTTATAGCTTATTTTTAACGTCTTTAAGTCTCTATTAATTACTTTTAAGAGCTTTAGTTACTTATTATAGTTATACATTAAGTCCTGCTAGATTATAACTTTATATATATTTTTTTTTGCTTTTATTTTAATTATGCTATAACTAAAGCTATATTAGTACTAGTAGACCTTTTTAATGAAGCTATTAAAGGTAGGATCTTATAGAGCTATAATATAGGAGGTTTACTAATATAAAAAAGAGATATTTTAGTTATAATATAAGTTTTTTTTATCATATAATAGCTTAATATATTACTGCTAAAATACTATACTACTTTATCTTTTAAGGCAACAGAATATTGCATAACTACATCCTGACCTCTTAGCTTACGTATAACTTCATGAGATGTGGTAGCGCCATAAGAGATGCCCGATTAGGCTTAAGAGGGTGCTGAAGAATAGATAGGGGGGTGCTGAATACTGCTACTCATAAAATCCCTCCTATAACACGCCGTCCAGTCGTACGCAAGCCGGGCGCAAGTAAGATGAGGAGCCAGGATTCTGGGAGATACGGCAGAGAAGTCCATATCTTCAGGGCTTTCTAGCCTGTAGAACAACTCGAAGCCCTCGTTTATCATAATTAAGGTTCACGGTTACTGGTCCGGCCCGCAGGGCACATGAGTCAAGGCCCTGGGTCGGTCAACAGCCCAACCGGAGAAGACCGGACCACCACGGAGGAACAGCCTCTCTCGAACGGTTCCAACCCCGGGAAGCGGGTCCCCCGCGCCGCTCCCTTGCAGATGCTACCCCCGCGGCAGGGTTTCCACCGCCAAGATTGAATAGTTCGCTGATTTGCAGCTGCTGTTGGTTCAAGGGGTTTCGAACAAGAGTCTAGGGCTGTGCTTGCCTTTAAGCTAAAGAGGACAAAGCCCGTTTTCGATGCCGTTGGATTCTTCAGCTGGTACCAACCAAAAGTTCCCTTGCATATGCAGGAACCCCGACTGCCGGTCGGACGACTCGGAGGCGGTATTTTTTCCTCCGCTTACGGAGATCATGCCCTGAATTGTGCAGACTTGCGCGGAAACCGCCTGGCATTGCTTACCCAGGCCGGAACCACAGCCAGGCTCACCAGCATCCCGCTTGTCTCACCGAACAATCGCCACTTTTCCCTTCGTCTAGCGGGTGTACGGGACCCGGATCCAATTACGCAGACGAATTGAGGGGAAAGCCGCGAGATTCGACAGACCACCAGGCAGCGTCGCAGACTCAATATTAGAAACCCTCACACCCTCCCACGGTTCCCGCGCGCGACGCCCCCTTTCTGATCCCCCTTCTCCTCGTGCCCTCAACTTTTTCTGCCTTCCTGCAGCGGGTTAGCGAAAGAAGCACGTTCCAGCTTCCGTCCCCTTCACACCTCTCTTCATCGCCAAGCCAGAGAGTAACAAGATGCGCTCCTCGATTCTTAATCTAGCTTCCCTGGCGCTGGCCGGCGGAAGCGTTGCCGCGGCCTCGCCCGTGGGCAGCAACTCCACGACGCCCTCGTGCAAATATCTCCCCGGCGACGAGGGATGGCCGTCCCCGTGTGAGTGGGCGAAGCTGAACGCGACCGTCAGCGGGCGTCTCGTGGCTACGGTCCCATTGGGCACGCCATGCCACGGCGCGAACTACAATGCGACTGAGTGCGCACGGCTGCAGGATGAGTGGCTTTACTCCGAGGTTCAGTAAGTATTTTTCCGTCTCTTTTCTGCTCTGCAATTGAGTCCTTTTTTTCTGCCCTCACCGCGTCTTCTGCACGTTCGGCCGAGCTTTGCTCATCTGGGAGGTGATCAACTGCAAGACGAGATGAACAGCTGCTGACCATGACTCGCGCGTGCGCACAGCATGGAGTCCTCTTCTTCCGTGATGGCACCCCTGTTCGCGAACGCGAGCTGCGATCCCTTCCTGCCGCAAAATGCTTCGTGCACTCTGGGCAACTATGTCAGCTACGCCGTCAATGCTTCCGGGCCTGCGGACATCCAGGCGGCGTTGAAGTTTGCCGATGAGAAGAATGTGCGTTTCGTCATCCGCAACACCGGCCACGACTACAATGGCCGCTCCACCGGCGCCGGTGGTCTTGCCGTCTGGACCCACTACATGAAGGGCACCGAGATCGTCGACTGGGAGGATGAGCAGTACGTCGGAAAGGCTCTCAAGGCCGGCGCCGGTATCCAGGGATTCGAGGCCATCGCCGCGGCTAACGAGGCTGGTTTGGTTGTCGTTACCGGAGAATGTCCTACTGTTGGTCTCGCTGGAGGATACATCCAGGCTGGTGGGCACAGTGCTCTTGCAAGTAAGTGTCAAGTTTGTGACCGACACCGGCAATTATGTTGCTAACTCCCATAGCCATCTACGGTTTGGCTGCCGACAACACCTTGTCTTTCGACGTTGTCACTCCCACCGGAGAGCTCGTCACGGCATCTCGAACTGAGAACCAAGACCTTTACTGGGCTCTTAGCGGAGGTGGCGGCGGCAACTACGGTGTCGTGACCTCCATCACCGTCAAGGCCCATCCCGATGCCCCCGTTGCCGGTGCCAAGTTTGCCGTTACTGTCGACACCAACAACACGGCACTGCTGTACTCCGTCATTGATGTCTTCCACGCCGCCCTCCCTGCTATCGTCGACCAGGGTGTCATGATCATCTACTTCTTCGGCCCCGGCTTCCTGCAGTCTCCCGCTATGACCGCCTATAACAAGACTCAGGCCGAGGTTGAGACAATTCTCAAGCCTCTCACCGATGCTCTCGCGCTCCTGGGTGTTGACCTCGAACCCACTTACACTGCTTTCGACAACTACCGCGACCACTACAACAACTACTGGGGCCCTCTTCCCTCTGGCAACATTCAAGTCGGAACCCAGCTCTTCGGTGGCCGTCTGCTTCCCCGTTCCAAGCTTCCCGAGTTCGGCCCTACTGCTCAGGCTCTCGTGGAGCTCGGCGTCACCTACATTGGTGTCGGACTGAACGTCTCTCACTTTGGTGGTGACAACGCCGTCCTGCCTCAGTGGCGCGACTCCATTGTCCAGGTCTCTCTCACCCTGCCCTGGAGCTTCGAGGTCCCCTACTCCGAGATGGTCGCTGAGCAAACCCGTATGACCGAGGTTGTCCAGCCTGTCATCGAGGCCGCCACTCCTGGCGCTGGTGCTTACATCAACGAGGCCGACTTCCAGCAGAAGGACTGGCAGAACACCTTTTACGGTGTCAACTACCCCAAGCTTCTCGAGATCAAGCAGAAGTACGACCCCAAGGGACTGTTGTACAACGTTGCTGCAGTTGGCAGCGATGCCTGGTCCGTTGCCAACGACGGACGCATGTGCCGTAGCTGACTAGCCGACCCGGCGACAAACCCCAAAAATGCTCAAACGTCCTTGGAACTATGATAAAAGGACCGTACATACTTTACTTCTTGTATAAATATTAGTGTAATCTAATAGCCCACAGGTGCCGACACTAGTACTCATGCTGTGTCTGAGGTCTGACGTTTTAGCGCCAACCTATGACCTAGGTTCAATAATATCACTGAGGCGATCACATCGCAATCTTGCAGATTTACTTTTGCCCCTTTGCTCCTTCCGCCGTTTTGCTCAATGACGCTCTCACCGTGTACGTGCCTGTCGTCCTCAATACGTTTGTCTTCGAGTTTCAATTTCGGTGTACATAAGTTGACTATTGCGTCTTCTGATATTGCATGTCTATCATCAATCAAAGCGGCTTCTCTCCATAGGCGAAGCGTCTATCCGCACCAACCATATCTCCCGGTCTTTTATCCAGCATAAGCATAGCTGCGAGCTTAGGCATCACAGTCGCAGCTCTGGAAACCTTAAAAAGTCCATGCTACCATTCATTATTGTAGTTGCTGTAGTGGACGTGGTTGCCGCTGCGGATGTCACAGTAGGCGTGGTGTGGTTGTGGGTTCTTGCTTTGGTATGTTGTCTTCGTGAACCTAGAACTGCGTGTGATCACTGCCGTCTTCTGCTGTACACATATTTCCTAATCTTGACTGCAACTGTGCTGTTGCGGATCTCAAACTCTCATATTCGAAGGGAGCGCAAGTAGCAATGAAACGTTTTATATAATCCTAAAAAAGAAGCCCTCATTAAGACCAAGCATTGACAAACTGCATCGTACCAACTTCAGCCGTGAGAACCGTGAGTAGATGGAAAAAATCGTGAAGAACTCCCGTGTATGACCCGTGATAACTGCAACAAGAAACTAAACAGCATCATCATAAGAGGTGGCCAAAATTCGTATCAAATCAAAGCCCATTAACTCCATAACCATGTATGCGTGAAAATTGTCCCTCAAACCCGGCCGCGGTTTTCATCTCCTCTCTGGGAGTTGTTCGTGAGCTGCCGGGCTAGTCCGTTGTCAACCTCGACATGGTCGATATGAATATGCTTCCTCGGAACCCAGAGAACCTGCAAGACTCCAATCAAAGCAATACCAGAGCAACTCCACCAGGCCGCTGCAGAGCCTGCGAAACTGTAAATAACACCGACAAGAGGCGGAGACACCGTGCGGGCGAGGCAAGCGCCTGACATGGCCAAGCCGTTGACTTTGCCGAGCGCCTGCGGCGAGGGCGTCGCGTCCTTGAGCAGGATCAGCGTGACCGGGCCGACGATAATGCCGTAGAAACTCTGCAACACCAGAGAAAAGTAGATTCCGGCCTGGGTGACGACATCGGGGAACGCCGACAAGAACGGCATCAGGATGTACGCGGTCGGGTAGAGCGCAACCATCCAGATGAAGGAGCCCCAAACGCCGACCTTCTCGACGAAAATCGGGAAAATGACACCCTGAATGAGGAGTCCCAGAAAACCATTGACTGCCAGGTATGTTCCAACGTCATGCACGTCATAACCCAGGCCACCTCTCAGATCAAGCTGGCCGTGAGGCGCCGCGGGTTCATCGAGGATATAGGTGGGGAGAAGCGAGCCAGCCGCCATTTGGTGATACGAGAAAATGACCAGTGTAATCGTGAGCATGATGACGGTGAAGTTGAAAGTCTTGACTTTGGGCTTGTTGTTTGGCGGCTGCTGAGCGCGGCCGTTCTGGCGACCATTCTGGCGCAGCAAATCGCTCCTCAATTCGTCAGAAACAACCTTGATCGAGTGCACCGTTCCAAAAGATGAACGTCTGAGATCAAAGTCGTGCTCAATCGGGAGAGGCAAACTCGACTCCACGAAACGCGGCCTCGAGTGGCTGGTGGAAATCGACCGGCGGTGGTTAAGGCTCCGTCGCGGGGCCCTTCGGAGCGGGGTTCTCTCGTCGATAAAGTCGTCATCGGCCACGGCTTCGGTGAAGTCCTCCTCCGAGTCATGTTTCGGCGGAAGAGTCTCCTCCAAGAAGAAGATTCCCTGAATGACGGCGGCTATGATGACAATGACGGAAACGAGATTCGGCAGCAAATAGGGATACTGTCCAAACAGTCCGTCCTCGGGGAAGATTTTGTAAAACTTGGCCGGTTGGGCGAGGAAGCCACCCATGGCAGAGCCAATGATGCCGCCAAGAGTCCAGACGAACGGCTGCACGGCATACGCCCTGGCTAATCAAAATTGTTAGCAAGGTTACACAGGGGATCGCCGAGTAAGACAGAGCCACCGGACTTTGCCCCCGGATTTTGGCGGAAAACTCACGTTCGTGCTCGGGATTTTTCACCATTTCAGCCACCATCTGCCTAACAGTTAGGGAATGCCAAAATTCAGTGGGAGGGGGAGCCAAACAGTTTGCATAACGCTCACGTTGCCTAGTTAAACCGTTAGTTTTCGATGATGAAAATGAGGCGTGGAAACCAAAATGATGTCATTGAAAGGGGGTTTTGGGATTTGAGGTTTGGTTGAACGGTATGGACATTGCAGTCTTTCGCAGCGTCATGTTGTGCTGCGTTTCTTGAGAGGTTGTGAGACTCACCGTTCAATGATCCTCCGATGAATCGTGCCAAGAGTGCGACCCAGTAGGTTTTTGCGAGACCGAAAATTAAACTGGAGGTGGCCACACCCACAAGCCCGAAAAGCACCACGGGCTTCCGCCCGACACGGTCGGACAACGCGCCCCAGCCCATGGAGGTGAGAGCTTCCGCGACGGCATAGGCAGAAACCAAAAGACCAGCGTAAAAAGGTGCTTCTTTGTCTTCAACGCCCAAGTCCCTCACCATGTCGAACGTGTACGCCAGGATGGAGTTGAAGGCGATGGGCTCTGAGAATCGACATATTGCTGAGTTTGCGGTGTCAGCGCGTTGCAGGCCATAGAGACCAAGATGGAGGGGTGTGATTTACCCAGAACGAGCAGCTGTCGGGTCGGAAATGCATTGGGGTCCCTGTCTTTTCTTTGAGGCATGATTCGATGTCACGGTTCCAATTCTCCCGTCGTCTTCGCTTCTTCGCCTCTCTCTTCACACACTCTCAGGCTGAATGTTGGGAGAATTGAGAGAGATAAAAAAATTGAGAGAGGAAGGATGAGTGAGATGGAGTGGTTTCTGATAGCGAGTGCTGCACCGCTGCGGGGTCATGAAAGGTTGGGGGAGAGGCAGGTAATAACGGCATTAACGGTCCGCCAGCCGACCCACCGGGCCATGCAGCATCCACCTCACCGCCTAGCCAGTTAGCGATCGAGCGATCTGCAGTGGCCATTGGCCACACACGTGAGTTGCCTCCCCCGGGTTCATCCTCTTGGTGGCTGTTGATGTTGGCAAGTGTGATGTCGGGAGCTGCCGTCGGGAAGGGCGAATGCTGCACCGGAACAAGAGGTGAAAGGCTGCATTAGACTGTTGCACAGAGATAAGGTTCCCGGCCTTCTTTGTTGCTGAACAAACACCGAAACAACTTTGGCTCTGTTAGCGTCATCTGTGGCTAACCGCTAACTTGACTTGCAGCTGCATGGACTCAATTTCCGAGGTTATTCCGCGGCCCTTCAAAGTCGAAGACAGTTCTTTCAATGGCTCGTCTTCTGGTCTGTATCATGTGAAAGCCATTTTGCAATTGACATCATCCACGGATAGCTCAGGGCTAATGAGATTGAGCAAGAAACGGACTGTGTTCTATGACGTTGGCCCCAGACTAAGTGATGAGTTGGCGCTTAGCGCGTATCAAAACTCAAAATGGCTGTGGCTGGGGCCTATCTCTTGGTTTCCGGGGCCATAACTATGGCCATGAGGTTTTTGCTCCCACCATCAGTGAATAGAACACCATAACAGCCAGAAGAGCACCAGAAGAGTGTCTGGGCAAAACTCAAAAACTGGAGAGGAAATCCCACCAGTTTTCGCAAATGCCAATCTCGAATCTCCATCCGCAAAATGCATGGCTGACACTGCATCGGACCCCCCACACCGCTGCCAATCAGGAAGTTGCAAGCGCGAGCTCCCCTGTACTAAACCAGCCAGTCAAACCATCAGAACACCGAGCCCGTTGAAGTCTCGCATAAATCCCCGGACTAACTCAACCAACTAGTTTTAAAGAGGCTCGAAACGACCTTGAATCCACCACGGGTCCCCGCCGCCATGCATGCAATCCTGATCACCGTCCGAATGCGCGCTGGTTCCCGCCGGCGATATCCCGCATGCAGGCCCGGATTTTGTGCGGCGCCGGCCCCACCAGCCGGGACGTCTGGAAGGATTGCGGTTGCCTTGACTTTGAGTTGTGTTAGGAATCTGCTATCCTCCGGCTCCGGATTCAGGGGGAAGTTGTTATGTCGTGAGCGCTCATAGCAGACAATTGTGCATTGTCATATTGGCTCTCGCATTGATCGTTTTCAACCGTCCTAACAGCCCCAGGGTAGACAGATTCACAACCTTTTTTGGGCATACTCCGCGGTGTATCATCAATTCCTGAACAGGCATTGAACTGAGGTTGGTGTAGTACCTGAGACATCCCATTACCCGGCTTGCCTTGCCGGTTTAGATTCGGCGGAATAGATGGAATTCCTGACGATGTCTCACCAGTTGAGTCACCCAGTCTTAACCAGACATGCAACGACTCGTCAATCCAAACGTCCTTCTTGGATCTCGCTCGTTGTCCTCGAATGCTAATGACAGCGAGAGAAAACGTCACGTGGTTTTCGAAAACAGGATTCTAGAGCTACGAGATGCAGTTTTTGCTTGATGAATTTGTATTATTACCGTACAGTGCTATTGCGCAACGCTAGTCCCAAGGAGAGGCATACATGTCCACTCATGCTATCTTACATAATGATGAAGATTTGTCGACCCAATAATTGTTGTTGTGTATGTGAAGCAAGCAAATAGGTATTGGAGACCCGAAATCAGTGGAACAGAGCTGGATCCAAACTTGCCGAGATCCTTGGATGATAGAAATCTTGTGCATGGCACCTCCCCTCTTGCGGCCATGGCTGATAAGGATTCCAACTCAACTCATGCGGTCGCGGCATCTCGTACGGGATAGCTGGTGGAAATCCCAAGACTGGCTGTAAACCGGGCGGAGATGACATCGTTTCATGACCGTAGAATCCAGCTGTATGCCCACCCGCGATAGTGACGCATGGCGTCCATAGTTCTGGCAATGAAATAGGGTTCGAATACGAAGGCGGCGGATTGCAGTGGTGAGGAGGCCATCCAGAGCCGACTTGTTGGCTCGCGAAGTCATCAATTGGACTTGAAGCTTGCTCCGATCCCTGGGAACTGTGGGAATCATCGTAAAAGAACTGCCCGTCGGCCGTTGAGTAGTCGTAGTGGACTCTTCCATATGGTTGTCTGGACGAAGTGGCGAGAGGAGATTCTTCGAAACGTTCGGCTACTCCAGCATGATCTTCGCTATGAAGCTCAGCGGAGCTGGTGTGTCCTGCGGCCCGTAGGCTCTCCCTCGACACTGCATCAACCCCTGGTGGCATAATGACAGCAGTACTTGTAGCGGCTACTTCATCGTGGCGCGGTGGCGAGTTCCAATATTGGCCCGTGAATTCCTTAGAGTCGTCGTTGGTTCTGTGATGGAGCTTGTGGTGTTGCACCATTGCCACTTTTCGGACGAAGCTTTGGAAGAGTTAGATTTGCAAAAATCAATCTGGCGGCCCGACGGGCTTCAACTTACTGTTTCCTGCATGTAGCGACGGCGCATGTGTAAGGGCGTTTTCCTACATGTAATCGACGATGTCGAGAAAAGCTGGAAGACTTGAAAGAAGTTAATACAACTATACATACAACATGGCCGTTTGGGGCATTGTCCGCCAGGCTGCACGACGCGCAATCAAACTTACATCTGCGAACCGCTTGTCACAGCCGGGATACTGGCACTCATAGGGCTTTTCTCCAGTGTGAATTCGTAAGTGAACCGTCAGAGCACTCCTCTGGATGAAGCTTGACTCGCAGCCTGGCGCTGGGCACGGGAACGGCCGGTCGTTTGTGTGAATTCGGTAGTGTCGTTGCAAGTCGGATTTGCGCTTGAATCCCTGAAAAAAGAACATCATCAGCAGATGGCAAAGATGGCACAGTCGAGTAGGCTGGTACCTTATTGCACGTCTTCCAATCGCAGTTGAAGCGGTGAGATTGTGGTCTGTTGTCAACGAGCTCCATGATTTCCATGTCGTTGATTCAACTTTTGATAGTTAGTGCCAGAGACTCCTCCTCACATACGATTAGAGTTGAACGTACTTCTCAGAAAACCCGTTATCGCTTCGTCTAATAACGAACTTGTGAGTAAACAGTGTGGTAGGCTGACGGGCTAGTTCATCATCGAGGCGTGAAGTAGTCGGTAGAATGTTGAAACAGGCCCGATAGATGTCTCAGGAGGCATCTAGATAGGGTGGTTGGCAGTACGGATTTGGTTGAAAAGAAGAAAAGGCGGTAACGAATAGGGTCGATTCCCACCGAAAGGAGACAGATCGTCTAAAGCACTGACGAAGAGGGTTCGGCCTAGTAGCTGAACCACGTCTTACAATACAGTTGAGTGATCAAGAATGTGCCGTGGAGGCTGCTTTTATCATGGAATTCTTAGTGTCGGCGATGAATTGATTGGACCTGCAGATCTGCATTCACCAACGCATGCGGGATGGACATGAGTCCAGCATCCATGCTACATCCCGAAGCATACATCTTGGTTGCCAAGAGGAAATATGATAGAGCTTTGACCATGGGAGGCAAAACACGGCACGGAATTCTCAAATTCGGTCAACGTAGCGACAGCGTGCCTAGTAGCCTAGTTGATCGAAAGAGGGCATTCTCCACAGGAACTTGAAGTAACCCTGCCCTAGCATCCAGCTGTCACTAGGGGATCATACGCCTTCCCAGGGTGATTTGCTTCAAGGGCTTGGCTGTTGGTTCTTACTTTGTATCGTGCATGCATTCAAACATCGCGGATGCGACTCTGGCATGTTCCCCGTATTACTCATGGGTGCTTCTGAGTGGAGCGGTAGATATCATGGCCCCAAGTTTCATATTAGGGCTTACTTCACGGGTACATGTTGAGTCTCTATGGATCGCCCCTACGAGCTAGTGGATGGACTATTTGTAACTCGACATTCAGCCCCTGGCGTGATTTCCGGCGGGTTGGTATCTCGCTGTAGAAATCAGCCCTCTTTAGCCCTCCGCTCGCATCCTGAATGCCAGCTAGCGCTATGTGATAGCCGCCATGGAATGAAGCCAAGGATTTCCGGGCCTTGATTGGCAGCAATGGGAAACCTTAGGCGCAGATTCCGAAGTCAACCCGTTAGCAAAGTGAGGCGGCTCATTCGGATGCCTTAAATGGGGTGATGTCTTTCAACCCCGGCGAATCCACCCCTTGTAAGTTACCATTCCCCTTGCAGATGGCGTCTCTCGCCGCGACGGAGAATTCTGTAGAGACTTTGGACTAGAAACAGCCACATTCCGTATCTCATCACGAGTCCACAGTCTAAACATCTCGTCCAGTTCTGACTAACGGTAAGTGGGAATTCGGTGAAGCAGTCGTGTTGCTGAGGTTGGGGCCTGTGCTCAGACCTACTGTCGTGGTTAATCGCGGGATACGACACGGCACACAACGAGGTTGATGGTTCGGGGAGATTCCGCGTCCCTAGCTGAATCTCATGTAGGGTTTTCGATGCCACGTGAGATTCTCGGCTTTCAACTTCCCCATCTGGAGAAGCTTGCGAATAGAATCTTGATCTCCGGTACCTGAAGCTGCTGCTGCGAATGAGAGGACGCTCCAGAAGACGGGAGGCCAACTGTGAAGTGGCGGAGCACTCAAGGAAGATATGTCACATCTCAAGTTGACTGATGTAGGCAGCTGTTGGGCGCTGAAAACCTAATGACTGGGGGCGGCATTAAGTTGAAGTATACCCTGCCAAGCAAGCCGGCGAGTGGGACTTGAGGGGAAGGGCACCATCCATCGACGATCCCCCACTAACACCAAAGTAGAGCAAGTTCCAGGCCCAAAGAGATTCCGATGAAGACCCGTATGAACCTCGTTCCATGTCAAACAATCTTCGATCTTCATGGGGGCAAATTATGTTTCATCCGCTAACAAGGCACACTCTGCTTTCAGACTAATTTTACATGCACTTTTTCAATACGACGACGATCTGCTACGCTGTCAACCATTACGTAGACAACCCTGACGCGCTGTCAACCCAGAGGGAGACGACAACTCCAGCTGAAAAGAAGAAACACAGGTCTTAGATCCCATGTCTCAATAACAGAAAACGTTCATGAATTTTGCCCTATTTAAAGTAGGGAGAAAAAACCGTTCGCTTCCAATAAGATCTCGCCTATTGATGCATGTTTTAGCAGAAAGGTCGGCTTTGTCGGCTAATTCGTATTATTATGATGAGGGCATCATTTGGCACGCAGGGGTATGAGACAGTGACAGGGGCGGGCCAACAAATCACAGCGTAGGACGTAGATCATCAAGCGATCAGACAGACTGACCGCGAACAGGGTACGTGTGACTAGTCAGAAAGCAGGCAAGTTCCTGACCTTGCTTCAACTTGCTTTTTGGAGTTTTGATGTTTTCCTTCAACATCCGAACCCTTCCCGGCCCCCTCTCGGGCAGAACGCACACGATGACGAAGCCCAACAAGCCCTCAGTCCTGCCGTCTGCCGCCTGCCGCTTTTCAAATCCAAGATGCTGTCATATTCCGTGTTGGGGTTTCGGCGTTCATCTTGGCAATCTTCGCAAGAACCCAGCAAGCGGTGAGGGGACGTCGGCGACCTCAAAAGGAGGCCCGAGCGGCTCATGCCTTGCGATACCCACTGATAAGAATGGTAGATGGGCCATGGCCCATCGCCACGCAATTCTGCCCGTGGGCCGAGCAAGGTAGCTCTCTTAGAATGCTGCCTGCCATGACAGAGACTGTTGACGTGCTTTTCTTGCAAGGTTAAGATGCGTCGTGGCGGCTTGAGTGAAGTACGGAGGTCTGGATCTCGTGCTTGGGTTGGGTGTGGGGAGGACTCCGAAAGAGATGAGGTCTCGCGTAGGTGATGGAACTGGGTAAAATTTAGCCGTCCCTTGCTCAGCTTCGCTTGAAGCGGCAACACGGCAAGGTACTCTGCGGCGTCGTCAGGGCCCGGGGGGAAACTTACCTATCATAGCTTGATTTTCCCGAGGGTGTCGGAAGAAAAGCTGTATCACTATTTCATGTCTTTAGAAAAAGCTCGTTCAAGGTCACGTGACGTTTACAACCTGCGAAACCCGCGTACACTACTACACACATGACCATCTAGTAGAGAACCGAGCAACCCCACAGACCGTAAATCCCTGCCTAACCGCCCACCACGTCATAGGCCCTTCTGGTTGTTTGGGACCTAAATCATGAAGAAACATGGCATTGATGGTAAGCTTGTTGATCTTGCCTTAGTTGTAGGCTGCTTCGAGCCTTGCAGCTTAGCTTTCACGCGTGGCTGCATGTGGTCGAGACACCTTAGGTTGAAATAGGCTGGTCGGCATCGTGCCGACCCCGATTCTTCCAGGATGATAGTGGCTTCAAGTGTTATGATTGAAAAATGGGTATGAAGTATTTTAACTTGAACGTGAAAGTTACAATATTGAACTCCAGAAACATACAAAGGAAAAGTGCTGGAAGCAAGAGCTATAGACAATACCCCGGCAGCGCACATCAAAACACGGGACTCGGCTCATTATGTCTGACAGAATCAAACCTGCGAAATCTCAACTTCCGCCTTGCCAAGCTTCGATGAACCATTATCAGACTCATCAACGTCATGTCCAATCTTCCACTCGTCTACCAATCCTCGGAAGTCTACCGGCAAGTAAGGTGAGGTAAGCTCCTGGAAACCGCTAGACTTGCGATGTGTTTCCAAACCAAGATCCTTCATCAGCATGTTGACATAAGGCAGACCCTCAAAGACGAAATCGGGGAGGCTATTGCCATAGCCACATGCTCCGAAGCGCCACTTGCCCCACTGGGTATGGAGCATGATCTCATCCGTAATCTTTTGCTCCGTAATTGGCTCACGGTCCAGCTTGCCGCTGAGGTATGCCGCAATCCAGTGTCCCTGGATCGTCGCGCACACAGAGGTGCTTACTGTGGAGATCATGCCGGCGAAGGCGAGGTTGCGCTTGGACATCATCGTGGACGGAACCATGAAGCGGTAGTAGCGCAAGGGGTTGGCCTCCTTGGGCTGAAAGCTGAGCTTTGGCTGTGCGGCGAGTCGGGGATACAAGGACAGAACCTTGGCATCAGCGTCCTGATCGAGCTCCCGCTTCTCGCTGGGAGTGACAGCGAGACCGAACTTTTCCTCTCCGAGCCCGGCGAACTTGATGGTTGACTCCTTCTTCCAGCCCGTGGAACAGATGATGGCTTCGGCATCTAGCTGTTCTCCAGATGCGAGGATGACACGGTGAGGCTCCAAACGGTCAATGTTGTCGATGTGAACTCGAATTTTGCCTTCTTTGACGAGATCGAAAAGGCTGCTGTCGTAGTTGAGAATACTGAGACCGCTACCGATCCAGAAAGCAGAGTGCCATGGCTTGAGCTTTGCCAGCTCGGGGTGAGAGTCGTAGGCATTTGCTGAGAGAACATCGCCGCTCAAGACCTTCCAGAAGGAGTCCACAATGAATCGTCCGACAGCAGTTCCGTGGAGGAAGTTTCTAACGCCGCCGTAGCCATCCTCAAAACCCCAAGGGCAGGGGCTGAACCAAGACATACATCGAACGTTGAGAAGCTGGTCCAAACGCTTCTTGAGCGGTGTGACGAAAGGAGGCGCGATCCAAACGGGGCCATGACCGTTGGGACGGACAATCAAGTCTACCGTCGTGCCATCCTGAACCAAGGCGTAAGCGACGTCGAACGCGGACTTGGCTCCGCCAACGACTACGGCGTTCTTGATGTCCTTCAGCTCTGGGGCCTTCTTGCAGAAGTCTTTGGCGTGGAAGAGAGGCCCTCCAAAATTCTCAGAGTTCTCGTATGAAGGAATATTAGGTGTTGAGGTCAAACCAGTGGCCAGGATCAACTTCTCAGTCTCGATCGTGCGGGCTCCGCCAGCAGAGGTCACGGACAACCTCCAGCCATCGTCCCCGAGGCGCTCAACCAAGTCCACGGAGGTATTGAATTGGATTCGATCGAAGAAGCCAAAGTGTTTGGCAAAGT